CAAGAAATTATTTTCAGTATAAAAAATCCATTAATATATATCTCTCTCTATACGCTCAAGAGAGGAGAAAACGAAAATAAAAATCAAAAATCCATTAATATTAAAATCACAAATTTACTTTGCGAAATTGAAGTTACAAATTTACCTTGCTGCCAAAAATATAAAATCACAAATTTATCTTGTAGCTGTGAAAAGAGCGATGTAATCAAAATTTAATGTGATAAAATGCACTGCTTTTGAATGAGCTCGGATTTGGTGCAACCCAAGTACCCAACACATGTTCATCAGTGCATGTAATATATTATCAGAGAGGGGGTTATAAGATTGATCATTGAAGTTGGTATTAAATAGTAAAGTTCCATTGGGATATTTCCCCTAAAAAAAGTGCCATTGGACATTGATATCAAATAAAGATCCTTTACTTGTCAAGAATTTTGGAGTTTAATTAAAGAGTATCTTTATTGTCTTGTATACTTTATATTATTGCATACTATTGTGGCAAAAGTTGAGACTACAATACAATATATTATTTAGCAATATTGTATAAATCTAAATTTTATCGAAGAGAAAACTATAATGATTTCTTTGTGTAACATGCATACAAAATAAATAACTTAATTATTTCTTAAAACGTAAGAATGCCCGTGGTTAAAATGGTAGCAAAAATAAATATTTTATGGTTTGAGATATATTGTGGTTAAAATGATAATAAGTAGAGAATCATTAGTGTTATTCCGTTCTCACTCTTATCATCTATAAAAGTAAGCAGACGTTTAGTTTATGAATTTAGAATTATTTTTGATTTACGTGTGTTTTTTATGAGAGAAAATATTATAACGAGTCACGAATCATGATGCGAATCATGACACGAATCTTTACTCTAAATGCAACATAATTTTGCTACCTATCAGTGTAGCGTAAAAGGGCATGATCCGCGTCTACTTAAAAAAAATGAGTCCAGCCTCGTATAAACTATCACGAATTTATTGTCACAATTTATTTAAAGAAAAAAAAATTATTTTATGGTTGTCAATATTTGAACTTGGGGATATAATGAAAGGAGAAGATTCAACTTCCCAATTAACAAGTGGTGACAAGTTAAGTCCAGTGAAAATATCCCAGCCCGCGTCAACGGCCTCGTTCACTTCACCGATTCGAGTTTTTAGTTTTAGGTTTCTACAGTAAAAAGCTCTCAGAAAATGTCACATCAAAATTTTCTGCTACAGTAAAAAGTTCTCAGAAAATGTCACATCTCAACTCGAATTAAAAACTCGAATCGGTGAAGTGAACGATATTGAGTTTCATTTCCAACGCCTCAAAGTTCATGAAGGAAAAAAATAAAATCCCAGTAACCCAATTGAAATGTCATTGACTATTTGAATGTAAACAAAAATTTTCAAGCATTGAAAAAGGAGAAAAAAGAAAAAGAAAAAGGCAATATCCTAACAAAATGAGAAGTGAGAAGCGTGTGAAAATAGAGAGGTTAACAACCACTTTTTTTTTTTTTTTTTTTTTTGTATTTGTTGTTTAATAGGTAGATTTTATTATCTAATTTTTTATTTAAATAATAATAATATATAATATTAATGTAATACACATATTAAATAATTAAATAATAAAAAAGAGGGTGTCTAAATAAGGTCTTATTTATTTCACCGATTTCAGTTTTCAGTTTTAAGTTTTTACAGTTAAAAGTTCTCAAAAAATGTCATATCTAACTTTTTTGTGACAATTAAAAACTCTAAAAAAATATCACATGTCAGTTCGAATTGAATGCTCAAATTACGAATGAAGCCTAAGGCCTAGTTCACTTTATAGATTCGAGTTGAGATATGATATTTTTTTAGAACTTTTAACTGTAGCTGAAAAAGTTAAATGTGATATTTTTAAAAATTTTTAATTATAAAAATTAAAAATTAAAAACTCAAATCAGTAAAATAAATGATACTTAAATAATGTTAATATTTTTCTTTAAAGGTGGTGGCAGTGATAGTACATGCTATAGGCTCCTCTTAACTTCAAAAGTAGATGTTCAACAGTTGGCATTTCCCAACTTCTTCTAAAGCTCTAGAACTATAATATCATCTTCTTCCGTTCTTTGCCATAAAAACGCAAAATCCCAAAAATAAATCCACTTCAAAATTTATTGTGGCACTCCAAGACTCCCAATTTTTTTCATCTCTATAGGTCTGTTCATTTTGTTGATTTGAGTTTAGAATTTAAATTTTTTTACAGTAAAAAGCCCTCATAAACAATCACATCTAACTTTTTTACTACAGTAAAAAGCTCTAACATAAAATCACATATCAACTCAAATTAAAAATTCGAATCAGTGAACTAAACGGACCATATATATTCACCGGCTCACCCACCAAATCTCGCCACGTGGCATGAGCGTGTCATTTTCTTAGGCGCCGAAATTAAAGAAAAAAAATCTGACCCCACGCGATGCTCGTTAATGGGCCTGGTTGTGGTGGACCGAGAGCGTTTTGCACTTTTTCGTTTCATTAAATGCCCTGCTCAATCCAAATCTATTTACAAACATGCCACTCAAAGCGTTGGTTGTGGCAAATCAGAAATTTCGCGAGAAATGCGAGGGTAATTTAGGATTTATATCCGCTTACAGCCTTACACTACCATCAATTGGACATATCTGAAAAGGGGCGGCGCCTTGGGCGGTTCGGTTGCCGGGTTGAGGGTGCAACCATTTATTTCCTGCTCCTTACCTTTTATTCTTTATTTTTCTAATTTATTTATATGTGTCATGATTATGAAATGAAAATTTTTTAAAAATTTAAAAGGGAAAACTCTTTTTGCCCCAAAAGTCTTAATAATGATTGTTTTTGCCCTAATGATTTATTCTTTCTTACACTGTGTGCCTCCCCCGGCACTGTTGTCCTATTCCTTTTTATTATTATTTTTTTTAATTCTCCCACTTTTGTTGTTATTATAGTAGAGGTAACACTTTATCCCTCTTGGAAGAATGAAGGACTTCAAAGTTTTTTTTGTTCTTTTTTTTTTTTTTTAAATTTTCAGGGGTGAGTATTTTATTTTGAGTCTTGTAGGTGGGATAAAGTGTCCCAAAATCATTGTATAGAAGGAATAATTGAATTTGGAATGTGCAATGTATATAATATGCTATCACTATATGTCTTTGTTTCTTTATATATGTATGTATTTGGCGTATAAGATGTTCTCCACTCTTTGTGGATCATGAGGTTTATCCTCCACCCACTAATGAAACCACATGTTATGGATTATCTAAATAGATTTTCTTATAAACCAATGGAGGACTTTTGTTATCTTCATACTTTTTTAAAGGTGTTATCTTCATTTCTTTGTACTAAAGTTTTTCTCCAACTATTTTTTATTGATATATGTTAAACTCAAGTATACGCTAAAAGTTTTTCCCTAACTATTTTGATTGATGTAAGTCAAATTTAAGTATACGCTTATTGAAAGATAATAAACCCCAAAAAAAAAAAAAAAAATGCAGAAAGATTACAATTGAAACGCGGTGAGATATTTAATTATAATGCTCATTTACATTTTGCTTATAACCAAGTTATAGCATGGTTTAAATATAGGGTAGAATTTCAACAACAACAAAAAAATGTATAGGGTATATTTGGACAAATATTTATTTAGGGGATATTTACTATTTTTGTACCAATCGTATGTTTAAGCTAAGCTATGAAGGACATTTTTGTCAATTAATACTTTATTGTAGGTTTATGAATAAACTGAAAAGGGTAAATTCATCAATTCGATTGTCAAAATCAATTGCTAATCTTTAAAATGTAAAAAATTAGTATGAATTTTAAATTTGAAGGTACAACTTTGTGAACATCTAAAATTATAAGATATATAATAACCTTATCTATATAAGTTTTGTAAAGGCAGGTATTGATATTAGATAATTAAAAATGTAATGTCAAGAGACTTATTAAATTGCCTTCACCTGCTCTTGAGAAAATTGGTAGTAGACAAAAGTTTTGTGCTCCAATATTGAAAATATCATTATAGAGAAAATGAAAATTATTTTCAAGGTTCAAAATCTCAATTGCAATTAGTGTTTGTAACTAATATATCTTCATATTCTTTTTTTATTGTAAGTTGACCTGAGCATTTTATTTGATAAATTGAAAATAAGTTATGGTATAAATTAGGGAATAAAAGTTTTTCTTTTTTTTAACTTGGATGGGGGATTCAAATTCTAATTCATTTTCATATAATTAAATGTGAATTACTGTTAAATTATGATCTATGCCTGCCATAACACTAGATTAAATTCACAAAGACTAGGAAGGATGACTAATAGGTGGAACTAGCCAAACAAAAAAAAATGAAAAAAAAAAAAAGGAATAGAGCTATTTTGGATTGTATACATCATATTTTTTGACATTAAACAATGATGTCAAAATGTCATCGCTAAAAATTGCAAAAATTTCAATAAACAAATAGTTTGGTCCCGTTTATTTTACCGATTCGAGTTTAGAATTTGAGTTTTGCTACAGTAAAAAGCTCTCAGAAATAATTACATCTAACTTTTTTGTTATAGTAAAAAATTCTCACATAAAATCACATCTCAACTCGAATTACAAACTCGAATCAGTGAAGTAAACGGATTTTAAGGTATGTTTGTATACATCCTAAGACGAAAATCATCCTTACCGATTAGCAAATGAGAGAAAAGCCACAAATGTTTTCGAAATTAAAAAAACCAGCCCAATAGAGAGAAAACATCGAAAACACAAGCCACGCCAGAGAAAAAGGAAAGAACAAGAAAAAGAAAAAAAGAGAACAGCTCAAGTCCTCCCACTCACCAATAAAATGAGCTGCCCATTGCCCTTGTCTTTCTTCTCTCATCAGCCCCTTTTCGGCTCTCTCTATCGCCCATAGCTGTAGAGAATAGACATAATAGAGATATTCCACGCCTCTCTCTCTCTCGCTCTCTCTTCTTTCTCTCTCTTCCTATATATAAAACACAGAGAAAAAGAAATACTCAAGAACAAGAAAAAGATAAATAGAATAGGAAATAAAAGAAAAGAAACAAAGAAAAACTGAACAGCCATTGTTTCTCAAAACACACAAGAGTTGAGTTTCTATTAAGAACAGAAAAGAAAAAAAAAAACAGAAAAACAGAGATAATAGGATATGGGTCACTCTTATCTTGGATTTCTTCATCTTCTTCTTCTTCTTCTCTGTTGTTTGTTTTTGGGCGTGATTGTTTCTGGGTCAACAGCCAAAACCAGTGACTTGCCGATTATAGCCTTTGATGAAGGCTACACCCAACTTTTTGGGGACGACAATCTTTTGATCCACAGAGATGGAAAAACTGTTCATCTCACTCTTAACGAACGAACAGGTCCATCTTCTTTTTTATTTTTATTTTTTAAAATTTTGTTGGGTTCTTAATATGGGTTTTCTCTTCTGATTTTTTGTTTTTGATTTTTTTTTTCAGGCTCTGGATTTGTGTCTCAGGACCTTTACCTTCATGGGTTTTTCAGTGCTTCGATTAAGTTGCCTCCTGATTACACTGCCGGAGTTGTTGTTGCCTTTTATGTGAGTAAAATCTTCATCTTTATCTTCTCTATCAGATTAAATCATCAGTAATAAAAACTCTGTTTTGGAAAGATTGTGACTTTTGGTTATCACTTTTGTCTAAACCAGATTTTCTGTTTCATATCTCTCTCGTTGAGTCCAAAACTCATCTCTCACATGGTTTTTCAATAAAGTTCACAGTTTTCATCTTCTTTTACGCATATCTTCTGTTATATATATACCAGTGGCCTGAGAGACAAAGAAAAAGAGAGAAAAATTAATCTGTTTGTTGCAGATGTCGAACGGAGACATGTTCGAGAAGAACCACGACGAAATCGATTTCGAGTTCTTGGGGAACATAAGAGGAAAAGAATGGAGGATTCAAACTAATGTTTATGGAAATGGAAGCACCAGTGTTGGCAGAGAAGAGCGCTACAATCTTTGGTTTGATCCTTCTGATGATTTCCATCACTTCAGTATTCTCTGGACCGATTCTCTGATCATGTAAGCGCCCCTTTCTTTTACACACATATATGTATATATCTACATATGTATATATATATATAAATATATATGATTGCTTCTCATAAGCTGTGTTTTATTTTGTTTTGTTTAATTATAGTTCTCTGTTTCTTCCAAAAAAACCATTTTTCTTGGTTTTCATGATTTAGACGATGATTCTCTCCGGGTTTTAATTTTTGGTGATGATTTAGCATTGTGAATTGTACATTTTTTTTGGTCCAGAATCTAATCTTATACTATTTTGAAAAAAAAAAAATCAAATAGTTTTATTTCAGAGATATTCACCTTTCCTTTTTATCTGAAATTGTTTTGTTTTTGTTTCTGTTTTAATGCAGATTCTATGTGGACAATGTTCCAATTAGAGAGGTGAAGAGAACAGAGTCCATGGGTGGTGACTTCCCATCTAAGCCAATGTCGTTATACGCCACAATCTGGGACGGATCAGATTGGGCCACTAATGGTGGAAAATACAGAGTCAATTACAAATATGCCCCCTACGTCACGGAATTCTCCGACCTCGTTCTCCACGGCTGCGCCGTCGATCCGATCGAGCAGTTCTCGAAGTGCGACAACTCGCAGGATTCCGAATCCGTCCCCACTGGCGTCACACCAATGCAGAGAACCAGAATGGAGGGCATTAGGAAGAAACACATGACATACTCGTATTGCTATGACAGAGTTAGATACAAGGTCCCTCCGCCGGAGTGCGTGATCATCCCACAGGAAGCGGAGAGACTCCGGTCGTTCGACCCCGTCACATTCGGGAACGGGCGGCGCCACCACGGGAAACACCGCCGCCACCGGAGCAGAGCCACCAGCCAAGCCACTTCCGCTTGAGAAAACAAGACTCTACTATGTATGATGATTATGAGCATTACTTTCTACATTGATGATGATTCAGCTGGGTCAGTTCCTTTTGTTTTTGTGTATAGAGAGCGCAGCACAGATTTATTGAGGTTGATAAGATTAATAGAATTTCTTAATATGGTTTCTTCGATGGTGGAATAGAAATTAAGGGGGGGTTGTGGTATGTGTATAGTTCTTACCTTTTAGGTCTTCTCGTCCTCTTTACCATTTTTCATGATGTTTGTCTTTGGCTTTTTACATAATGAATTTCGTGATGATTTCTGTATTTTGATACGCCCTCATGGGTTCAATAAATCATTTTTAGTTTATTGAATGACTTATTTTTGCATTGGAAAATTTTATGTTAGGGTGAAATTGGCCGGACAAGTTTTTTTTAGCTATTTAATTAAATTTCAATGGCTTGATTTATGAGTAGGAGTATTTTTATAATTTAAGGTGCATTGGTTTTAATATAGATATTGTAAATTGGACAGTTAGAATTAATTTGGTTAAAGAAGCTCACGATGGGGCAAAATAATGTGGCTTATTGGAAAAAAAATTTAAAAAAAAACTATAGGAGATTTTAGTCCAAGAAAATAAGGAGACGTATGGTTTATGGATTAAAATCATGTGATTAGAATTATTTTTGATTTATATGTATTTTTTATAAGAGAATATATTATAATAAATCATGAATTATTATTCAAATTATAGTTTGAATCTTCTAATCAAACATTTGATAAATAGTAAATGGTCCAAATTGCTATTATGATATGTATTTCTCAACTAGGGCGGAAATTTTCTAAGAAACATCCGTGTTATTTATGACATAATACATTGCATGAGTATGGTCTTGAAAAGAAAAATTAAAGAAAAATATAGAGAAGAAATAAGCGTGAACGCAAGTATGTTTTCATTTGGTCTCAATTCCCAAATTTATGTTCTTTGGTTTCACTCTTATTATCCTTTTTTTTTTTTCCCTGAGGTGAGACTTGTCGTGTTCAGTAGGACATTTTTGTGAATGGCAATTGGTGGAATCCAAAGTCATATGGATGTGACAAGTGGTGAAGAAACGGTGCAGCAAATTGGCAGTACATTTGGACTCTTAGCTCCCACTGTACACGCATGGTTAGGTTTGGTTTGGTTGATGAAATTGGTTGAAGAAATAAGCATAAATAATGGGGAAGATTTTTCTAGTAGACATTTAGGAGAGTTTGGTACACATAATAAGTGAGATTTATATTCTCAAAAAAATGATAAAAGGTGATATAATTTTTTAAAAATATACGTTAAGTGTAGGAATTTTTTCTTAAATTTTCAAAAATATCATTTTATTGTGTTTAATTGTATTATTGTGTGGTTTTTTGTTGTTGTTTAAAGTAATGTAATCTAATACATTGTAATGTGATTTTCTTATAAAACCAATAATTTTAAACATTTAAAAAACCAGTTAAATTTTATAATTTGGGTGATTATATATTTTTAACACCATAGATTTATTTTTTTTAAATATTACAAAAAAGTATTAAATTGTTAAAAAAAACTCTTAACGAATTTTGTATAACAAATTAAATAGATAAATTTAATACATTAAATTACCAAGTAAAAAAGGAAAAGATACTTAACAAATTAAATAGATAAATTTAATACATTAAATTACCAAGTAAAAAAGGAAAAGATACTTAACAAATTAAATAGATAAATTTAATACATTAAATTACCAAGTAAAAAAGGAAAAGAAAAAACACGTTGGTCTTTCTATCTATCGAACCAGATCTGCTTCGCAATGTGGGGGAGGTGGGCTAGCGACGGCGTTGTGGGAGGAGCTGCGCCGGAGGCGACTACGACACAGGTGGTCGAGTGACGAAAAGGAGCTGTCGATCTAGAGGGCAGAAACTAGATTTGAGGGGGTCTAGGTTGGTTCTTTGTCGTTGGTCGCGCGGAGCCATGGCGAGCTCTATCGGCGATTGTAGGACGCGAGGGGTCAGCGAGGGTGTGAGGGGGAGGGAAGCGAGTTGCTTAGTCGGGGAAGATGATTCCAGGGAGGTCCGACAAGATCTGTCGAGGTCCAATGAGATCCGACGAGTCCGACAATATGCGGTAAGGACAGACGAAGCCCGGCGACGTTGTGTGAGATCCGGAGATGGAGGGGATGGACAGGGTGGGTGCTTGGGCTGTTGATATTTTCACGTGTTCCATGGGATTGAGATATCTGGGAATATAAGGGCCGTTTAATTGCTAATTAAAATTTTTAATTTAATTTAAGATGTAATTTTATTTAAATTTTTTTATTATTATAAAAAAATTAAATGTGATTATTTTTAAAAAAATTTTATTTTAATAAAATTTAAATTTTAAATGAATTGATGAAATAAAAAGTGTCTAAATAATATTTTATTGGGTGACATTTAAATTACTTAAAAAAGAGAAAAAATGAATCTTATAGTATTTACTTTCTTAAGAATATAAAATTTACAATTTTTGTACTAAATATGATAATTTTAGAGATTCTTATTCTCATTTTTAAAATTATTGTGTACCAAACATCTTTTTAAAAAATTAATCTCGTTTAATTTTTTATTTAAAATTTTAATTTAAATTGAGATATAATTTTTTATAAAATTTTTTTACTATAATAAAAAAATTAAGTCTAATTTTTTATAATTTTTTTTTACTGTAATAAATTAAAATTAAAAACTTAAATTGAAAAACTAAACAAATTGGGTTTCAGTAGTCAAGTTTGCACAAAAAGTTATCTGTGCTATTTTTTTTTATTTATTTAATTTTACGTGATTTTGTTGACCCCAACAATAGAGAGGTCAGAAATATCCCATAAGTAATGAATTTCAGAGCGTTGAAAGAGGGAAAAAGAGGTTAATAAAATCTATTAATTGTGTTTTGGGTAGTTGGGAAAAGTTGGCTTGTTGTTTTCTTCTTGTCTTTTTTTTCCAACGGGAGAAGACATGATTGTAATAATTATACAGGAGGAAGAATAAAGAAGGGGAGAAAATAATAATGCAAATAAGCAGTATTTATCAAGGTTTGGAAACCTGCATCTGATTAGAGTACAAATTGGAATCATTGATGATGGGAAAGAAATCTTGCAATAATATTTGCTCACACTTTTTACTGTGAAAGAAATTATTATAACACCCCAAATTTAGTTCAGTAGGAAACTTGTATTCTTTTGTTGGATTTGGATAGATAGCCTTTTGTGGTCCTTTCTAAATATAGTCCAAAGAGCCTTCCTTATCAACTTGATTCATGTTATTTTGCCTATAGGTAAAAAAAAAAAAAAAAAAAAAAAAAAAAAATAAAAGAAAAAAAAAAAAAAAAAAAAAAAAAAAAAAATTCACAAACTAAATGTGAAGACAAAAACAGCTAGCGAAACCCAAAGAAATGATAACAAAAAAGATCAACATGCATGCAGTTAGAAACATCAATTTAATGCTCCGTTCATTTCGCTGATTCGAGTTTAGAATTAGAGTTTTTCTACAGTAAAAAGCTCTCACAAACAATCACATCTAACTTTTTTACTACAGTAAAAAGCTCTCACATAAAATCACATCTCAACTCGAATTAAAAACTCGAATCAACGAACTAAACAGGCCCTTAAACAAATTTTCTTGTTTTCTGGCAAAAATTATAAGATGAACCCTTTTTCTTTTCTTTTCTTTTTTTCTTTTTAAACAAATTTTGTTGAGGGTAAAAGAACATCGATTTGCTGTTAACATTTAAATAAAAAGAAGATTAAAAGAACACTTAAATAAATCATTAGGAAAGAAAGTTTATATAGTTTGGAGAAGTTGTTTTCTATTTTCTTCCTTTAGCCATTTGATTAAAATTCAAACTTTCTTGTGATTGCGTCTTAAATTCAGGACTCTTATTTAACGGTCTGATTCATGAGTCTGTAATTTTTTTATGTGGTGCGGTGCAATATTTTAAACTTAGATATTTCTAGATCATACCATTAAAAGTTAATTAAATGGTTAATTAAACTTAATTTACCAACTTATATTAACCGTGTAAACTTTAATTAGTTTGCATAACATGCAATAAATTACATGAAGTGGAGTGCTAAATACACTCCCTTACAGACTCTTTTATAGATGTTACTTTATTTTATTGACATGTGTCATCCTACTTTTTCAAAACAAATAAACTTAATAATAAGTCACTTCTTTTAACCATAATTATAAGAGGGCCACCTCCTTTAAGAACTAAGCCTAGGATTGCACATTTTCTATACAAATTGTAAATATATATTCACTTCACTTTTTTTTTTTTTTCTATCTGTTATTTATGAGAATGCATCTTAGTTTTGGTTCTAGATTTCTAACAATGACCTAAATATTCTAGTAACAAAAAAAAGAAAAGAAAATTGTTGCTTTTTTAATTTCTAGTTTCTCTCTCTCTTTTTTTGGGTTGGTTATATGCTTGGAGAATTCTAATCAGAATCCACCCAAAAGAAAGAATGTGTATTCAATACTATTTCAAAATGACACATAACATTTAGGGCATGTTCTTTTGTCCAAAAAACTAAAAAAAAGACAACTCAAGTTTCAACTTTATTCAAGTTCACGTTATTTTAAGTTTCAACTTTATTCAATTTTACTCAACTTTATTCAAGTTCTAACTTCAACTCACGTTATAATTCAAATTCAACTCAAAAATTACACTCAAGTTATACTCCAAAAGAACAACTCATTAGTCATTTACAATCGTTGATGTTTTGAGTAAAAAAAAAAAAAAAGCTTCACCTTTATTAAATAATAAAATTTTTAATTTTTAAAAAAAATAAGAAAAGGTATGTTTATACGTCTTTCAAAAAAAGCGTATATTTATTTGTATATGTAATACACATATATATGCATTATATATTATAATTTAATTATATTATGTATTAACTTACAGATTAAATATATTTATACATGTATATATAATATAGCGCAACGTAAACAAAAAAACGGTAGTTACGATTTCATACATTGTTCTTATGTTATATTTATACAATATACATTTGTATTTAGATTTTGTAAGTATATTTTAACGTTTGATATATGTGTGTATATTTAAGTTTTCTTTATCTATATTAATGCAAAAAAACAAAAAAACAAAAAAACAAACAAACTTGTGTTTAATTTAATATTGTTCTGCGTTGGAGTTTTCAGTTTTTTTTTTTTGTTTTTTTTTTTGAAAGGGAGTTTTCAGTGTTTGCACAAAACTGAATTGTAACTCTATATGTAATAGGTAAAAAAAAAAAAAAAAAGGTTTCAATCTTCTAATAATAGGTGAAAAAATAAACACAAATATTTGCAAACATTTTACAGATAAAAA